GTAAGTTGTATAGATCTGTTAAGCATTTTGCCTATAGATAAAAGTACTGTACTTAAAAACCAATTATAAGCATAAGTCTTTTGTTAAGTCTTCTTACCAATAAAAAATGAAAAAGAAAATAGAAATTAAAACACTTTAAATAAATCTCTACATAGTCAGGACTTGTTGACTGATCATGTCCCTATTTAGTGTTACAACGAAAAGATTCATTAGTAAGATAGCTAGTTTTATCTACTTAATTACAGTTCTTCCTTGGAGTACACTGTGTGGGCTAAAGAGCTTCCTTCTAATTTGCAATTCCACATTTCATATCTATAACTAAAGCAGAGCAAGTGACAACTCTTGAGTTGGACAAGTTATGTCAGCCCATAAAACTTGTTTCCCATTTTTTATGGACAGTCTGACAAACCTTGTCTAACAAATGGTAAAGGTAGATGAGAACAGTGTGAAGACAGGTGCCTAAAAGAACTTTCTAGCTGGGCACAGTGGTACTGACCTGTGATCCAAGCTACTCAGGAAGCTAAAGTAGGAGGGTTCTTTGAGCCTGAATTCAGCACCAGCCTGAGCACTCAGAAAACAACCAACCAACAGTGCCACCGCCCCTCCCCCCCATATGTTCTGCTCTAGATCAATCTGCTCTAGATCAATACAAAAGTAACAAAGGACAGAGTGGTGGTAAAGCAACCAAGGAAAAGCTGCTGGAAAAGCCCAGTGAGCAGGGTTACCTTCAAAAGAGTGAACACAAGCAGTCTCCAACATCAACCTTTGGACTTTCAAGTCAGGGATTGGTAACTGTAATTTAAGTGGGTGGGTTAAGTATATTGGCTATCTTGACTTCCAAAGATTGAGAATTGTGTTTGTTCAGTTACACCCACATAGCTGGAACATAGCTGTCAAACATTAGAGCTTTTGCAGTTTTATAAGCCCAAGTAAGAGCTGATGTGACTGTAGTTTTGCAAATGTCAATGTAGAACAATTCTTGATATTGTATTACTTGGAAACACTTTAGAAATCGCTTTACAAGCTTGATAATGGCAACAGAGTTGTGCTACAAAACATAACAGTGAAGAATACCTTTGCAAGATAATGAATGGGGAAGTAAAAAGACTCCCAAACAATTTGGTACAGAATGGGTAGACATTGGTAGAAACCAGCAGCTTCTGTGCATGGCCCCAAACATGAAAAATATTAAAATGGTCCTTGAAGAAAGTTTCTCCACCCCTATGGGGTCATTATTTAAATCTTCTATTGACAATCCCCACCAGTATTTCTCCAACTATTATTTGGAAAATGGAGCACAGGAAAGCTTCCAGAACCCATTCAGGCTCCAGAGTAGATAGAATTATTAGTGTGAGCTCTAGCACCCCACAAATACTTTTTGGGGGGGTCCGGTCATGGGGCCTGACCTCTGGGCCTGGGCACTGTCCCTCAGCTCTTCAGCTCAAGGCTAGTGCTCTATCACTTGAGCCACAGTGCCACTTCCGGCTTTTTTCTTTTTGCTTATGTGGTGCTGAGGAATCGAACCCAGGGCCTCAGGCCTGCAAAGCACTGAGCCACCTTCCCAGCCCCCCAAATACTTTTTACTTTAACTGATCTTTCACTATGTATATTTCCTTGGATGCATGAAATTATTGCATTACCTGTTCAGTCAGTTTCCACCCCAAACTGAATGTACAGGGAACTTGAGTTTATAAAGTAAAAGCCATAAAGTACATGTAAGTTCTTATATTAACTATGCATAACATTTTTTTCAAGTCAGTAAATTATTCACTTGAATAAAAAGAAAAGAGCTTTGTTTTAGGCTTATTTTTCAATCAAAGATAAAGCAGGACATAGAAAATATATTGTGGATTGCTGTTATTTTATACACTTCCTAACAACTTGTAACATGCTGTCCATTCTATATCTAGTTGCTCATTATGCTCTTAAAAAATGTGACTGGCAAAGCAAACTATCTTCATCTACTTGCCTTTCCAGCCATATCTGCTCAATGTTCTCTTGTCATTTCCCACCAAGTATACAATAGTGAAAGGAACTGTGAACTAAAGATTCAACTTAAGGCTCTGTCACAGAAACCTCAGATCCAACCAAAAACAGCCCTTTTGTGTCAGCCTGGCTCTCAGAGAGCTCATGCAGACACAGACTGATCTGGCTGGCTGAAGAAGCTATCAGAACATATTCTGGGGCATCCATAGGAAATAAGGACTCTCTCTGGTAAGTAGCAGTAGGATAGGGTTACAATGAGCTATGGTGGATTTACTACCAAATGAACTCTTTCCCTGGGAGGAATAAGGTATGAGTTTAAATTTTAGGAGCCACATCGGTCTGGTTCTTTCTCCCATAGCATTCTGTTCCATACAAAATATTGGAACTAAACCAGTCACCTTGGCACATTGTGAATTGTGAATTGAAAGCTCACCTTGGCACATTAAGCTTTCCATTATGGAGTTTTCTTATACACTATTCAGCAACTTAGAATTTCAAAGCCTTTCTTTGTATTTAACCTTGGTATAGTCTTCAGGCTTGCAACTAAAAGCCAGCCTGTTTCTCCTATGCAATGTTTTGTGGAAAGTAAGTAGCCTTAAGCACACAGATCAATTATCTACTGTCATCACATTAGAATGCATAATGAAATGTTTCTAAGGTGATTAAGAATTATTTAGTCCAAGCCAGGCTCTGGAGGCTCACGCCTGTAATCCTAGCTACTCAGGATGCTGAGATCTGAGGATCGCAGTTCAAAGACAGCCTGGGCAGGAAAGTCCAGGAGACTCTTATCTCCAATAACCCGCTAGAAAACTGGAAGTGGCACTGTGGCTCAAGTGGTAGAGTGCTAGACTTAAGCAAAAGAAGCTCAAGGAAAGTGCCCAGGCCCTGAGTTCATGCCCCAGGACTGGCAAAATAAATTAATAAGATTAAAAGGCCCTAGCAGCAATGTAGGAGGTTGTAGTGTGTTGGGGAAAATACTACTAAGTTGGTGGGCACAGACATAGTGTCTAACGTTCTGCATGGAGGGGAGGCCTTAAACTACTGTTGAAGCCTGGTAAGCAAAGGACACTGTTACAGAAGCTTTTGTGCTTTACTCTTGATCTATAATGAAAGAAAGAAAGAGAGAGAGAGAGAGAGAGAGAGAGAGGGAGGGAGGGAGGGAGGGAGGGAGGGAGGGAGGGAGGGAGGGAGGAAGGGCTCTTAACAATAAATCCAGATGGTGGATAAGTACTGTAGATATTTTTTAAAGTGAGAAGAAAGCATGTTGAATGATATACATTTACCTTGGTTAGAACATTACTCAATGTATGTTTAAAATATGATGGGCTGGGCAGGTAGCTCAGTGGTAGAGTACTTGCCTTGCATGCTTGAAGCCCTGGGTTTGATTCCTCAGCACCACATAAGCAGAAAAAGTCAGAAGTGGTGCTGTGGCTCAAGTGGTAGAGTGCTCACCTTGAGCTGAGGAGCTGAGGGACAGCGCCCAGGCCCAGATTTCAGACCCCACGACCGACCAAAAAAAAATTATGCAGCACTCCATAAATATGCATACATTTTAATATCTTTAGAGACTATGAAAACAAGACAGACTCAGATGGCAAGTCCAGGTTCAGTCTCCATGCACATGACATCCCATACAGGCTGGATGGTCCAGCACCAGGTGTTGCTCTCTGAAGCCGGGAGCTTATGTTGCTCGCTCCACTGGAGCCCCAGAATTGGATCCACCACACATTTTCTCAAACTGCCCCTCCTGGACAGCCCAGGCTGAGCTGAAGTCCACCAGGTAAGAGCTGAGGAATGGACATGAAGGCTGGAAACCAGGGGCCCTGTCGTCCACCCTTCCCTGGACACTCCCCAGTCCCTGCAGTTAACCGCACAGTCCCTGGGACCAGGCTTCGCTTCCTGCGGCAGGACTCCACAGCATCTGGGTGTTGAGTGAGGTTACTGTGTCCTTCACTCAGGGATCTCAGTGGTAGTTACTATGTCCTTCACTTCTCTCTCGGATCTCACCTGGTCGTTAGGGCCTTGCCATGGAGTTTTGTTCCCTCTGGGACGGGCTACCAGGAGGGGAAGAGCTTAGGACTGCCCGGGAGCACAATGTAGCAGTGTCCATGGGCCCAAGCTCAGGGGCGGGGGCTCGGGGTGGGCTCAGGCTGGAGGGAGAGGGGTCCAGGTCAGGGGGGTGACCCCATCCGCAGGCCAGACTCGGGGTGGGCCTAGGCTCGGGGTGGGCTCATGCTGGGGAGGGGTCCAGGTCAGGGGGTGACTCCATCCGCAGGCCAGGCTCCTGGTGGGCCCAGGCTCATAGGGGTAGGGGTCCAGGTCAGGGGGGTGACCCCATCCACAGGCCAGACTCGGGGTGGGCCTAGGCTCGGGGTGGGCGCATGCTGGGGGGAGAGGGGTCCAGGTCAGGGGGGTGACTCCATCCGCAGGCCAGGCTCCTGGTGAGCCCAGGCTCATAGGGGTAGGGGTCCAGGTCAGGGGGGTGACCCCATCCGCAGGTCAGACTCGAGGTGGGCCCTGGCTCAGGGTGGGCTCAGGCTGGGGGGAGAGGGGTCCTGGTCAGGGGGGTGACCCTATCCACAGGCCTGACTCGGGGTGGGCCCAGGCTCGGGGTAGGTTCAGGCTGGAGGGGTCTATGTGGGGGTGAGGACCCCATCCACAGGCCAGGCCCGGGCCATTCTGTGGGCGCACCTCGGCCTTCCTCCGGGCCGCCCCATCGGTTTCTCTCCCCCTCCCCTGCCCCGCCTGTCCCCCAGCCCTGGGCTGGGGCGGGGCCGCTGCCACGCGGCTCGCTCTGGGCCGGGGCTCCAGATCCCCAGATCCCGAGCGCGCCGGGGTCGGGAAGGCAGGACGCGGGCCACCGTGGCCCGGGCGGCGGCGGGCGGACCCGTCTCCGGCCCCGCCCCGCCCCGGGTCCGCCCCTCCGCCCCTGCCCGCGGGGCCGCTGGGCGGAGGCGGCGGCAGCTGAGCCGCTGGCCGGGTTCCGGGCGGCCGCGCCTGAGCCCGCGCGCTCCATGGCGGCGCCCAGGGCCCGGCGACGCGGGCGGAGGGCGGGCGCGGGGCCGCGGGGCGCCTGGGCGGCGGCCGGGCTGCTGTGCGCCGCGCTGGTCGCCCTGGCCTGCTGGGCGCAGCTGCCCCCGGCGCCGCCATCGCCGCCCTGGGCGCCCGGGGCCCCGCGCCCGCCGGTAGGCGTGCTGCTGTGGTGGGAGCCCTTCCGGGGGCGCGGCGCGGCCGGGCGGCCGCCGCCCGACTGCGGGCTGCGGTTCGGCCTGCGCGGCTGCCGCCTGCTCACCGACCGCGCGGCCCTCGGCGAGGCGCAGGCCGTGCTCTTCCACCACCGCGACCTGGTGCGGGCCGGCGCGCCGAGCCCCGACGGCGCGGGCGAGGCGGCGGCGCTGGCGGCGCTGGCGGCCGCGGGCGCCCGGCCGCCGGGCCAGCGCTGGGTGTGGATGAACTTCGAGTCGCCCTCGCACTCCCCGGGCCTGCGCGGCCTGCGCGGCCTCTTCAACTGGACGCTGTCCTACCGGGCCGACTCGGACGTCTTCGTGCCCTACGGCCGCCTGCGCGCGCGCGCCGGGCCCGGGGACCCCCCGGCCGGGCCGCTGCCGCCGCTGGCGCGGAAGCGCGGGCTGGCCGCCTGGGTGGTGAGCCACTGGGACGAGCGCCAGGTGCGCGTGCGCCTCTACCGCCGGCTGAGCGCGCTGCTGCCCATCGACGTGTTCGGGCGCGGCGGGCCCGGGCGCCCGGTGCCGCGCTGCGGGCTGCTGCACCTGCTGGCGCGCTACAAGTTCTACCTGGCCTTCGAGAACTCGCGGCACCGCGACTACATCACCGAGAAGCTGTGGCGCAACGCGCTGCTGGCCGGCGCCGTGCCCGTGGTGCTCGGCCCGGACCGCGCCAACTACGAGCGCTTCGTGCCGCGCGGCGCCTTCATCCACGTGGACGACTTCCCCAGCCCCGCCGCGCTCGCCGCCCACCTGCGCTTCCTCGACCGCAACGCGGCCGTCTACCGCCGCTACTTCCGCTGGCGCCGCCGCTTCGCCGTGCACCTCACCTCCTTCTGGGACGAGCCGTGGTGCCGGGCCTGCGAGGCCGTGCAGGCGGCGGGCGGCCGCGCCCAGGTCGTGGGCGACTTGGCCGGCTGGTTCGAGAGCTGACGCCGGGGACCGGGGTGAGGGCCGGGGCCGGGGTGAGGGGTGAGGGGTGAGGGGTGAGGGCCGGGGTGAGGGGTGAGGGCTGGGGTGAGGGCCGGGGCCGGGGCCGGGGTGAGGGCCTGGGCCGGGGTGAGGGCCGGGGCCGGGCGAAGCCCTCCGACCCCGCTTCCCCTGGCAGAGGACCCGGCCCGCGGGCTCCTGTGCACTCGCGGCCCCTCACAGCGGGACAGGTGAGAGACAGCCTGGCTGTCGGAAGACTTTCTGGGCCACGGGCGAGACTTCAGAGCGATGCTTCAGAGCTCGCGTGAGGCGGTGGACCGGCCGGAGCCGGGGTGGGGGTGGGGATGGGGGAGGTTGTGGGGGGGAGGTGAGGGTGTGGGGGGTGAGGGTGTGTGTGGGGGTGGGTGAGGGTATGTGGGGGGGTAGGTGAGGGTGTATGTGTGTGTGGGGAGGGAGGGTGTGGGGGGGTGAGGGGGTGTGTGGGGGTGGGTGAGGGTATGTGGGGGGGTAGGTGAGGGTGTATGTGTGTGGGGGTGGGTGAGGGTATGTGGGGGGGTAGGTGAGGGTGTATGTGTGTGGGGGGGAGGGTGTGGGGGAGTGAGGGTGTGGAGGGTGAGGGTGTGTGTGGGGGTGGGTGAGGGTATGTGGGGGGGGTAGGTGAGGGTGTATGTGTGTGTGTGGGTAAGGGTGTGGGGGGGGGGTGAGGGTGTGTGTGTTTGTGGGGAGGGGAAGGGGGAGGGTGTGGGGGGTGAGGGTGTGTGTGGGGGTGGGTGAGGGTATGTGGGGGGGGTAGGTGAGGGTGTATGTGTGTGTGTGGGTAAGGGTGTGTGGGGGGGTGAGGGTGTGTGTGTTTGTGGGGAGGGGAAGGGGGAGGGTGTGGGGGGTGAGGGTGTGCGTGGGGGTGGGTGAGGGTATGTGGGGGGGGTAGGTGAGGGTGTATGTGTGTGTGTGGGTAAGGGTGTGTGGGGGGGTGAGGGAGTGTGTGTTTGTGGGGAGGGGAAGGGGGAGGGTGTGGGGGGGTGAGGGTGTGGGGGGTGAGGGTGTGTGTGGGGGTGGGTGAGGGTATGTGGGGGGGGTAGGTGAGGGTGTATGTGTGTGTGTGGGTAAGGGTGTGTGTGGGGGGTGAGGGGGTGTGTGTGTTTGTGGAGAGGGGAAGGGGGAGGGTGTGGGGGGGTGAGGTGAGGGTGGGTGTGTGTTTGTGGGGAGGGAAGGGGGAGGGTGTGGGGGTGAGGGTGTGGAGGGTGAGGGTGTGTGTGGGGGTGGGTGAGGGTATGTGGGGGGGGTAGGTGAGGGTGTATGTGTGTGTGTGGGTAAGGGTGTGGGGGGTGAGGGTGTGTGTGTGTTTGTGGGGAGGGGAAGGGGGAGGGTGTGGGGGGTGAGGATGTGTGTGTTTGTGGGGAGGGGAAGGGGGAGGGTATGGGGGGTGAGGGTGTATGTTTGTGTGGGGGGAGGGTGTGTGGGGATGGGGGGGTGGGTGAGGGGGTGTGTGGGGGTGGGTGTGTGTGTGTTGGGGTGTAGTCCTTAATCGGCCGAATTCCTCAAAACCTCGGATCCTAGGCAAGGGGAGGAAGGCCAGCCCGGAGGCCACTGACACCCTTAAGAAGAGCTTTCGTGCCTCCACCACGTGAATGGAAAACCTTGTCCTTGGAGGAAAGTGAAGATGGATTTGTGGTGTACCTCACCGTTAGCCAGACACAGTCCTGGAAAGCTACACTTAAATCAGATCCTAAATTCAGAGCCTTAAGGGAGTTCAGTATTTAATGGAACTCTGCGGAAAATCCTTTACAATGTCAACAATCATGGCCTAATTTCTTCTTTGTGTTTTCCTGTAACCTGGATTTAAAAACAAAAAGCACTGATAATGCAGGTGTGAAAATAAAATGTGAACAACCTTTCTGTCCCTTTTCCTGGCTAACCAGCCAGCATTTACAAACAAGAGAAGGAAACAAAAATGTCACCTAACATAAGATTAGTTATGTCTTTGCTGGGCCTGAAATTTAAACTGGAGCATGAGTCCTTTGGATGGGCAGGCCTTACGCTGTGCAGAGCAATGAAAATGATTGCACTGCTTTGTGGAATCATACAAAGGGAGAAAAGTAAATTTCATGATGTCTAGCAGTGGCAGTTTTTGTTTTTGTCAGTACTTAAATGTTTCGATCCTATGAAATGGAAACTTCACTAATGCCTATAAGTAACTCTCTTGTTACAGGATAAACCCCAGTCCGCCTCCTTGTCTGCCTTACATTTTGGGTACCTTGAGATTTATGTAGGACCAATCTTGGAATTTTAGTGTGTATCTACATGGGCTAATGTGTTCACTCATGACTTGTGGGGCTCAGTTTGAGTTTCCTGGTTCCAAATAACTGTGGTAGTTTGGCTTATCCTGAGTTTATATCAAGTCCAATTAAGCTTGTCCTCTGGCTCTTGTTTGCCTGACCTTTTTTCACTTTAACCTGATGACGCATCTGCACACACACACACACAGACACGTGCTGTAGTCACCTCCTATTTTGCACAGGCTCCAGCTCTTGGCCACCAAATCAAATAATTCCCTTTTTGTTATGATGGTGGTTTTATTTTTGTAGTTCTGGGATTTGAGCTCAGGGCTGACTTCTTGGTAGGCATTCCATAGCTTGATCTACATCCTAGCCCAAATAATGCTACTTTAAAAAGAGGTGAGATGAAGACTGTGAACATGATAACAGAAAGAAAATAGAAGGGGCAAACGGTCTTCTCTACAGAGGGAGAATGCTGTGCTTGTTGAAAGGAGGAAATCTGAACTTGGAACTCGCACTGAACATTCCTTTTGTCCTGCCTGCCCCCTCGAGCACACACGTGTAGGTCCATGTAAATACGGACCTGGAAAAGGCAACGGCCACTAAGGGTAAAAGCAGGACCGGCGCGAAAAGAAGATTCAGTAATGAAGGGACGAGTGCCTTACAAAATGGGGAGCAAATGGAGACTGGGTGGGAGTGAAGAAGGAAATAAGGAAAAGGAAACGTCTTTGGGGTCAACAAGTTAAGAGAAAGTGAGAAAAGTCGAAGAAAGCTAAAGGACAAAGCAAGACGTGGAAGACACTCCTACTGCAGCTTGGAACGGTATGGGTCTACACCGAGTGGAGGTGAGATCCGACCCCTGGCGCTGCGGCTCGGGTGGAAGAGCATCGGCCTTGAGACATGAACAGAATGCCTCAAGACAGCACCTGGGCCCCGGGTTCAAGACCCAGCCCGGGTCAGAACAGCGCGAAGATGAGGCGCAGGTGCTCTGGGCCTCAGCTCCTCCTCCTCCTCACCTGCCCCGCTGCCCCCGCTGCCCCCGCCACCGTGCCCCGCCCCGCCACCGTGCCCCGCTGCCCCCGCCACCGTGCCCCGCTGCCCCCGCCACCGTGCCCCCGCCCCGCCACCGTGCCCTGCCCCTCTACCCCCGCCCCGCCCCTCTGCCCTGCCCCATCCGCCCCGCCCCTCTGCCCTGCCCCATCCGCCCCGCCCCTCTGCCCTGCCCCATCCGCCCCGCCCCGCCCCTCTGCCCTGCCCCATCCGCCCCGCCCCTCTACCCCGCCCCTCTGCCCTGCCCCATCCGCCCCGCCCCTCTGCCCCCGCCCCGCCCCTCTGCCCTGCCCCATCCGCCCCGCCCCTCTGCCCCCGCCCCGCCCCTCTGCCCTGCCCCATCCGCCCCTCTACCCCCGCCCCGCCCCTCTGCCCCCGCCCCGCCCCACCGACCCTGTGCCCCTCCCCATCGCCCCCTCATTTCCCGCCCCTTCCCTGCCCCGCCCCACCGCCCCCTCATTTCCCGCCCCTTCCCATCTCCCCCGGGTTCACACCTCACGACGCGGGAGCATGAGCGGACGCGCGCGGGTGAGAGCCCGCGGCTCCGCCCGCAGCCCCGGCGCCCCCAGCGTGGGCCGCCCCGCAGCCTCGCCGCCCGCCGCCTCGCCGCCCGCCGCCTCGCCGCCCGCCGCCCCGCAGCCTCACCGCCCCGCAGCCTCGCCGCCGGTAAGCCCCCTCCCTTCTTCCCGCCTGCCCTCCGGGGGCCTCCTTCTCTGAAGGAAGGCACCTTCGCCCAGCTTGAGTCTTTCAGACGCTTCTCCCCGTGTTCCTAACAGGGCCGCGTCCGAGCAAGACAGAGTGTGGCCGCGCGAGCCCCTCAAGAGCCGCTACTTGCTGCGTTCTAACTTGGCCGTACATTTTTGGGGAGAAAAGTGGCCCTGTTCATACCATGATGTGGATTATAGTCTTGTACAGTTCGGCCTTGTTTACCGGGTACATCAGTAATCCCTAACACTCACCAATAATCTCTAACACTCACCAATGATCCCTAACAGTCACCAATAATCCCTAACACTCACACACCAATAATCCCTGACACTCACACCAATAATCCCTAACACCAATAATCCCTGAACACACCAATAATCCCTGACACACCAGTAATCCCTAACACTCACCAATAATCCCTAACACACTCGAGGTTGATTCAGCTGCTGTCGCTTGGTTAGCCACTTTGAGCTGGTTGCTAGTCTTGGGTGGTAGATTAGCCACTTTTGAGTTTGGTTGGTTGCTAGTCACGGGTGGTAGATTAGCCACTTTGAGCCAGTTGCTGGTCATAAGTGACAGATCGGACGGACCCTCAGGAAAGCACAGTTTAACTCTATCTCCAGAATTTTGAGCCACCTTTTAGACTTGAGTGAAAGTGCTCAGCTGAGTAGTTTGTGGTCATTTTACTTTCATTTTCATGAAAGCGGTCTTCTCTTGATTTCACTCATTTTGTAGTAATTTCTGGAACAAAGACAAGCATTTTCCATGAAAAGAGAAAATGTGAGTGGTTCTCTCTCCACTGTTTTTAAAGAACTTGGCCAGTTTATGCAGAGAGAGTTGTCTTCTAGACCTGTGCCTAGAGGCCCTGTCCGGGTTCAATTTATGTCCATGTCCCATAGTCCTGGAGGCAAACAGTTCGTGCATGTTTGTGCCCCTTCTTTCTGACGGGTTTCCTGAACACAAAGATCAACCCGCACACATGGGTCTGACACTGTGTTTTCCTGTTGGTACTAAAAGCAGTTTCATGCCCAGAATGGGCATGGTTTCCTCATCAAGAGCTTTACCCATTCATATTTTCTTTTCCTGGATCATCTTTATCTAAGGATTTAGGACATGACAGTGACTGATCTGACCTTGTGATAATGTTCTGACTGAGACTCCTAGCTGAACAAGATGTTTTCCCTTTTGATAGACCATATCAGTTGATCCTGGTGACCGTGAAGTGGCCTCAGGCAGTGGCTTCCTGGGAACCAGCGGGACTTCACAGCAAGGTAAGCTCTGCAGAGGCTGTTCCCCTGAGCTTTGTTCCCTGGAATGGAGCGAGAGGGACTTCTTTCACCCAACCTTAGAGACCTAGGCTTGCTTTGTGAACATCTTTTTTTTTTTTTTTTTTAATGCCTATAGTCATGTACTTAGAAGTTCCCTAACATGCAGTCAGCTGCTAATGCTTAGTAAGTGGTAATTCGCTGTCTTGAGGAAGCCAGTGTTCTGATTCTGTTTATTCAGTGAAGAATTTTGAGAGGAAAAAAACCCTCTAGGAATCTATGACATCCAAATGCAATGCTATCATTACCTGCTGGGATGGCAGAAGCCTGGCAAATGCTGCTGCTGACTTTGCATCTTCCCTGGGACGCACACCCCTGTCGGGTGGTAGCTCTCTTCCCTGGGACACACACCCCGGTCAGGTAGTAGCTCTCTTTCCTGGGACACACACCCCTGTCAGGTGGTAGCTCTCTTCCCTGGGACACACATCCCGGTCAGGTAGTAGCTCTCTTCCCTGGGACACACACCCCTGTCGGGTGGGAGTTCATTTCCTTGCAACCCTGATGTGGTCTTGGGATCTTTGTCAACATGCCACTGTAAGTACACTGTCACAATAGGAGTTGGCATGCCCAGTGCATAACAAGATAACAGAGACTAGGTGCTCAAATAATAGAAATGTATTTTCTCATAATTCTGAAGGTATCAAATCCGAGATCAAGGTGTTGGCAGGGTTATTCCTTTTGAGGCCTCTCTCCATGGCTTGTAGATGGGCTTGTTTCTCCCTGCTTCTACGTAATGTTTTTTCTGCATATTTTTATGTTCTAATTCCTCCTCTTATGACATCAGACCGATTAGTAGTTACTTTAATTACCTAACTTTAACTTATCTTTTTAAAGATCTGTCTTCAAATAACAGTAACATTCTGAAGCACCATGGGTTCAGATTTCTACATATGCATGTAGGGGGGACACAGTTTACCCGATAACCTCAGGTGAAACCTGTTAGTTCCCCTGTTCTGGCCACCAATTTTTTCAATTCGTTTTTCAATTTCTAACAAATGTGAATGCCCTGGGCACCTAGGACCTCCCAAACCGGGAGTCTGGGGCTCTCACCTAGCACATGATTGGTTTTTCATTCCTGGCGGGAGATTCTCTGGTTCCACTTAAACACCCCTTCTTTTCCTGGCAGGAAATTCTCCAGCCCCCTTTCATACCCACCATGTAATCTGGATTTACACAAAGGGAGGGAGTACACCAGACTCTGCACCATTCAGGCATCATTCCACCTTCCAGACTGTTTTTCCATGTTGGCTGTACATTCTTACAAATAGCAAGTGATGGAAATCCTTCATCTTTGGAAAACAAATTCAATTTCTGTTTAATTTATACAGTGTATATACATATATAATTACCGTTTTATCTATTGAATCCATCATTCTTTGCAAGTTTTATCAGTCTTGCTGAACTGAAAATCTATTCCCATTAAATGATAAATTCCCCTTTTCCCTCAGCCTACAGCCTACCATCCTACAGTAACCTGAAATTGTAGAAAATGTCCAACATCTTTTGAAATCAGGAGCATTGGATGATATAAGGCAGTCTACTGAGGTTAATATAGTTTGAGAATAGAATAGAATTCATAGGATAGCATTATATTGAAAGTAGAGTTTGAATAGATTTTTAAATTAAATTTTATTTTCTTCATTTAACAAATTGTATGTCATGATTAATATTATGGCTTCTGGATTTAAGATGTATAATTTCTACCTCTCAATTTATTGATCTGTAAAATAAAGAAGTGACAAAGAATTTTTAAAAGTTTATTTTCTTGAGAAACAGACTCTATTGAGAAC